TGGGGATTGTTCGCATAATTATAATTCTTTGCGTGATCCCATAAACAAAAACTAATAAAAACACATTTTCGTCTATTACTCTTAAAGACCCGAAAGCATAGCGACCTGAATCGGTCGACTTTATGCAAAAAAATTGTTATTATGCAGTTGTAGTGATTAAAATGATCGAATTCTGGCATTATTTCATCATTTTAAAAGTGTACGGATCTGTCATACCTCCAGATGAAATGGTACACTGTACAATGACGCTATACTATACAATGACCTTTTGCGTTTTCAATGGTCTTTCTACAATTAATTAGTATTGTCTTGTATCATCCAATATTTAATTTTATTTGGTATAGTCCATTTCATAAAAAAGGCATATAATTTACAGATAAATAACCAGATACTGTTTTGTTAAGCATTCTACAGTTGCATCATTGTCTTAATTGAAATCCATTACATCATAACCACTACAACTTATACAATAAAGAAAACATAGGTAAAAATGTCTACTAGTTTTAGAGTAACTTCTTATAATTTTAACATATTCAGCGGTTGTTCGGCGAACCATATTGTAAAATGGCAAACGCTTACTTAGTCATTGCGATGCTTTGAACAACAGTTCTGCGGGACGTGTTACTGATCAGATCAAACCAGTACAATGAAATAGATAATAGATAAATAAAATTTTAATAAATATTGAATACACTTATATGTGTATTATAAGTAGTAAATTATATACTGGTTTTTGTTTATCTCTCAATAATGGAAATTAATGAAACTGATCATTTTGGAGCTAATATCTGCAGATATATGTCAAAGTCCTAAGTTGAAATATATAGCAGTACAGGGATTTCTTAAAATAATAAACAACAAAAAAAAATTGGAACAGAAAACATGATTTTGCAGCTGTTACTTTTGAATGATTTTTTGTTTATAAACAAAATTTTCTAACAAATTTATTATTGTTTCGATTTCTAACAACAAAAAATGGAAAGGGGAAACTGCTAATCAATCAAAAATTTGTTATGACTGAAATAAATTGATTCGTCAAAACAGTTTCATTAAAGGTGAAAAAAAATTAATCAATCTGAATTCATTTCTATTCAGCAATCCATAATTTAAGCGGATACATGCCTGGCCCCTCCATTATTGTTGTAATTTTTTACAACAATTTATTTCTTTATAGTTATTTTAATTTTACTTTATATTATTTTATTTTAAACACTAGATTTTAAATACTGAAGACTGACTTGTGTTAGTCATGCTAAAGTCATTGTACGCAGAAAAAAAAAATTAAAATTAAATGAAATTATTTCAAAAGATAAACCATAATTACAAATCTTAATAACACTTTTGTGTGGACGGACCGACATTTGTATCTTTTATTGTGTGTTGTATAAACAGTATTTAATTTAAAAATATTTATATTTTATGGCTATGTATATATGCATATATAAATGAATTTTTTTTTTGTTTTTTTCCAATTTGTTTGAAATAGTTATTTTTTTTGTGATTATTGCTATAATGTTGAATAGAGCACAAATTGTCATATATAATATACACTTTTGTAGTTTAAATAAATAATATATTAAATAAAACTGATAATACAAAGAGAAGCAACAAAATTATAATGGAGTTTTTTATATTGTTATTTTTTAAAATTAAAATTATTTTTTAAAGCCTTGATAGTCATTTTCAAAATCTTAACTGCTATTATTTACGTACTTAAATATCACAAACAATAAAAAATATTTATTTAATTTTAAGTGTTTTCTTAATGCCTTTTATTGTAACAGGTTGCCAGATTTAGATACATGAGTCGGTCAGTTTTCCAATTTAGTGGACAAATTTGTGTAAGGTCAGTTACAATCTTCATAAAGTTTATGAGAAACATAACAATAGCATGAGTAATTTGAGATATTGTAATAATGTTTTCTAATATAAAATAAACGTTAGTACAGTATAACGTCACGATTTAAAAATAAAGTAGCATTGTATGTATATAAATTTTAAGATATTTATTCATTTCTTAAAGTCTATTCAAGGCCCTCAAAGTACTCCGTACTCCCCCTCAGGGTGCGATACCCTACTGTTAGCGTTTCTACCAATTCTAGAAACAATTTTCAAAGCCGATTTTCAAAATGTTCATACCTTCTGCTCAAAAAGTACTCGGATTTTGTAAATAAAACATATTTAAATTTTATTCCAAATTTTTTTTATCTTCTTCAAAATATGCTCCTTCTGAAGCGATACACATATGCCAACGCTTAACCCAATCTTCCAAACACTTTTCGTAGGCCCGTGCAGGTATGGCTTTTAGTTCCTTCAGCGAATTATCTTTTACCGATTCAATCGACTCAAAACGCTTACCACGAAAGGACAATTTGAGTTTCGGGAACAGGAAAAAGTCGCACGGATCCAGATCTGGCGAATATGGTGCCTGTTCGATGACAGTGGTGCCGTGTTTGGGTAAAAAATCGCGTACAATTTTCTATAGTAAAAATCGCTAAATGCACTAGAGGTATTGAGGTAGTCTCACATTAACAGCTGCTGTAAACAAACTAATTGACAGATGGCGCTCAAATTTGTACCATATGTCAAGAAAGGGTGTACCAACATAACGAAAAAAAAATTTTGAAAAAGGTCTATTACTTAAGGAGTAGTTAACAAACAACAAAATCCGGATACTTTTTGAGCAGAAGGTACATACATTTCTAGTAAGCGGACGCGTTTTCAAGCTGGTCTCCGAGAAAATTAAAGTTCACAGTCTTAAAACTATTTTTAAGTATTTTTATAAGAACAACTTTTGTTAATATAAATACAATAATATAAAAACACAACAATTCCAAAAGTGAAAAGTGCATAAAATATTAATTTGAAAATAGCACGCACTTTTTCGGATTTTTTTTTATTTTCTTTTTCTACTGTTAGGCCGTGTGCGAGTTCGAGTAAATTGAGGGAAATACTCGTAGTAAATTATGTCGGTATGGCAGCGAATGTTGGTATTTACCAGAATTTCGAGTAGGGTGAATTAGATAAAAATTAGGTAAATTAGGGGTTACCGTTGTGAAAATTTTATAAGATGTTTCATAAATATGTTAAATAAATAAATTTAAAAATCTTTAAACAAAAATAATAAATAAGTGCGTATAATCCATAAAAATAATTCTTAACTACAATTTTGTCCCCTTTAATAATTTACAAAAATTTTATACTTGTTATAAAAAATTTATTATACTTTAAAAAAATTATTTCGTTTTTAAAAAAAAAAGTAATGAATATATTGTTCGACAACTATTCGGAAACATACTAAAGACTATCATTAGCGGTAGATTAGAAAACGAAGTGATCAAATGATGGGTGATCCTACGAGAACAAACCTTTCTTACGACTAAATGTTCGTGCAATATTTTATATATGCTCGTGGAAGTAATGCCCAGGGTTCCACATTAACCTCCATCTCACAGTATGTCGCATCACGATTTGCATTACGAGTATCAGTTTTTGCACAGCATCAATGTTTTCTGGCACAACAACTGATTTTGACACAAAAATGACCTTCACGAACTGCGGCCATGATTAAAATCATTGTACCAACCAGCGTTTCACAGTGGTAAAGTATGGAGTTTACTTCACATCGCCAAATGTGGAAGTAAGTTAATCGATTCACTCTTGTCTTGATACTCGTAATCCACGTCGAAAGTCGACGTCGTAATAAATCATAATTAATCACTGTAGATAACACAAATAACGCTCACGCTCTTTTGACAAAAAGTCTAAGGTAGGTTATGTTAAATAATGTCAAACTTTCGTATGTGTGGAAACTTCAGATGACACCTGACAATAATCAATGTTGCCAAGGCTCAAAATATAAATAGCTCATAATAATCCTAAGCCAGAAAGAATAGTAAAGACCCAGAAATTCTATCCGATCCATCAAATTTTTGCACATATGACAATTGGATTGTAAGAACGCCTTGAAATGCACTACACGAGAAGAGTGGCGGAGGATGCAGAGATATGGTAAACGGCGCACTGGTACACCTCGACCTATTTTGCTAAAAAAAGATGGTGATGATATTGATGAAAATTTTCAGAAATTAATTTATTTTAGTTAATTTATATTTCTGAATGGACTTGAGAATTTTATCTATTAAATATTTTCTAAAACTTAATTTTCATTAAGTTAATCTTTTATAGTGTGCACTTTTAATAAAAAACATGACTCAAACGGTTATTTTTATTGCCTAACAGATGTTCACTGTGGGTGCAAATTCGCAGTTGTAAAATAGAAAATCAAAAAAATGGGTGTGCTTTCCAAGTGCGCACCTATTTTCTTATAAAACTTAATGGTATACAATTGTTGATAAAATATTCTATTAAAAAAATAATAAACATAAAACTTAAGAGCACAAAAAAATAAACATACAATTCGCAAGTGCAGGCTAATGTCAATGTTCATATTGAACTGTAGCCTGTCAGCAACACAACTTCAATGCAACTGCAGCATGTTGCTGCAACTATTGTTGAAAATCACATTTATGTTGCTAATGCACACCACGAAAGTCGGACAGCCATATAACATAAAAATATATATTTTCTATTTTTCTTTTGAAATTTAATTTTTTTTGTAAAGATGAACTTATGTTAAGTTGCATATAAAATACACATAAATCAAATTGTTAAAGCAAATCGCTAAAGGCAGTTTGAGGCCTCTTAAAAGTCATAGTCATTACTGGCAGATTTACGTAAGTTACCAGATATATAAATTTAACTGTCATAAATTTTATTATATATCTATTTTTGTTACTAATATTTTTTTTATGTCTTTAACATATTGTTCAATTCTTTTTATTGATATTTTCACTTGAACTCAGCGCAGTCATGAACAGTCATTTTTTACCAGGCGGCTTTTGCATATCTTTGACTTAAGCCTGCAGTACTTTTGGCACTTAACTTGGATTTGAATAAACGTAACTCCCTAACTCCCTGCAAATTGCCTTTGAACTTACCTTAAATATAAATTGTCCCATGTCAGAGGCACGTTCATTTGCTGAACCTGATGCTCTTTTGAAGCAATGCAGATAGTCACGTGTTAGTACAAAATATCTGAAATAAAAAAATAAAAAAAAATGAGTTAATGGTATGACTAAAAAAGCTTATGAACATTGGGCGGGATAAGGTCTTAACATTGAAAATTTTTATACTATAGCATTCCGCGGAAATTTTTATGGTTTTTTTTATTTTTATTTTAATTGAAATAAGAAAGTAATTAAATTTAAATAAAAGACTGAAAATTCCACTTGAAATAATTAAAATGGAGATCTGCTTAACCTGCTGGTATACAATAGAAAAACCAAGGGTGTATTAGCTAATAGCACCAGAAGAGTTTTATGCAAGCAAAAACAAGTTAATTTATTATTTAAGAAAAGTTACACATATTTCCATATTTGAAAAATCTGATAATTTCATAAGTAGATTTAATTTAGTAGCATTTAATAACTTTATTAAATTAGAATGTTTTCATCTACTTCAGTCAACATAATACTATCCCTTCTATAGAAGTAAAGAGACCTCTCAACAACTTCTCTGATATTCCATTGTGTATAGTGAGTAAGACAAATTATTATTAGTGTTATTAGGTTAAAAGATTTTTCAACAGGGATATAAAAATTTATTGTTGCCACCGCCATAGAGTTTAATTTTCTCGTTCATTTTAGTAATATTCATCATCATAGTTATATTTCCTCATTTGACATCAGTTCTCCACCTTGGTATTTCTGTTAGTACGTATCAGTGCCGAGCAAGCTACTAGTACATGTTCTGCAGTCTTCGTTTCTTCCTTGCAAAACGCACAAGTTATATTGCAACGAGTTTCGAATTTTATAAGATGTTAATTCAATCTATTAGAGAACGCAGAGTTTCTGTAATCATTATTAAGTTGAATAAAATCTTTATATTGATTTAGAGTGCAAGGCTCCTACAAGTGATTTTGATTATAATGACACTGGTAGGTTGTCCTAATATAGCACTCTATATATCTCATCTGCGTGAGAAAGAATTATCTCTTCTTGAGCTAAAGAATATTTTGTTTTACAAGCAGCGAGTTCTTCGCGACAAGTTTGTAACATGAAATTATAACAAAGAACCCAAAAGATCTATGCCTATTATTAATCTATCGCGTAAATTTCCTGCACTTTCGAATACTTCTGCTCCATTGAATAAACATTGAATAAATCTCTATGGTGAGATAGCCGTCTATATGTTATGCCAACATGCTATGATTAATCCTGTTTATTGTATGTTTACATCCTTAATCTTTATATGTTTAGCCCTTTAATAAAGCTAAGCTTCGAGCACATAGCGTCTCGCGATAAATGGTGTTAACATTCCTCCTTATGGATACTCTCGAGTTTTGTGTACTGGTGGACTTTCAAAGTTAATTAGTATCTCTATCTTAATGGAAAAGGGCATGCTTCACACATCCATAGAATTAGAGTGCAATTAATATTATTCTTTTGATCGGAGCTTTATAAATCCCTTCGTGGGACCACTAAACGATTCATAGTTTATGTTCAAATATATACAACCTTGTGTATATTGCAAAGAAATTGCCATTAAGTGCCATAAAATCACATGTTTCGCGAGTTTAAAATAGAACTTTAATAAAAAAAGAAATGTAGGATTAATATACTTCTGGAATAGTTTTTGATAACCTAAAAAATCTTAATTAATATATTTAGAATTATTTAATGTGAATTTTTCCATTTATAAACGGTGAGTACAGAGTTAAGTAATTCATGTTAATCACGTCAAATACGTATTATATTTTCATGACCATAACAAATAAAAACCCATATACACGAGTTGTGGTCAAAAAGTAACGAGAATATAACGTACGAAATTGTTTGATTTTTTTTTTTTTTGAAACAGTAATTAATTTTAATTTTATGAAATTTTTGATTGTACAGCTGTTTCAGCTGTACCTTTGTCTTTACAAGCCCAATTTTTGAACCATGATCTATTATCAGTGATCCAGATGTCTAGAAGATTTGATCTTAGCAGAAACAACAAAACATCGCTCTTATTTATGCGTTAAGACGATATGCATAGACACAATTTTTTATACATATGTTTGATTAAGCAAATTGTTGACCACAAAATGATCTTATTCTTCTCATAATTGTAATAGATTTTATCCACCGGATGTAGTAAATGATTTATAAAATTTTGTTTCTAATGTTATTTTCTGGATTGCGTTTTGTTCTCTGTGGCACAGTTTGCCGTAGAGAAATTCGTTATAGAAAAACAACAAAGTTTTAATTATAAGTTGAATATGACAGCTTCCATGCAAACAATCCTCTTTAGTTTTCTTCAAAATCAACTTAAATTCTCTTTATATGGAAGTTATTGTCTTTTCATTATTATAAGGTAGCATCTCACGTTCGGGTTACGTCTTTACATGATTGCAAATAATTTTTTTGGATGAAAAAATTCGAGTTTAAGAAAAAAGCGTAAAGAGTTAAGTTTCTTCACGCCGTTGCTGTATATTTCGAACGAAGTAATTAAATTAATTTGACAAAAAATACACTACACAGCAATAGAAAATTTAAGGCAAACGAATGACCAGCAACTTTGAAGATAAAAAATTCTCAACACACCACAACTAATCACTCTTAAGATTTTTTCCTAGCCCGCAGCAAAACTCATGAACTCCATCCTAAGTTGCAATCATTTATCTCTTCTGTGCACATATTTTTTTATCTCAGAGGTCTCATTTTTTTACTTTTATATTTAATTTTCATTTATTCACTTTTTCGTCTTCAATTTTTTTTACTCAACTTAAATGAAATGTGTTTTGGCCAATTTACTTGGCCACAAAAAATAAGTTGCAAAAATATGCTGGCTTCTTCAAATTTAACTACGAAATGCGAATTATTCTATTCATTACTTTACAGTGAGCTACAGTCTGCAGGTTCGACTATGTGAAAATTGATGGAAAAACGATAGATTTAATAGATTGCTTAAATTGTCTATCTCTCTTAAGTGGAGCATATAGGAGATATTATATATATCTAAATATACATACAGTCATAGTTTTATACAACAGATGGATCATTTCACTTGTTAGTTTCCAGTTTCCACTTTTGATATAGAGTATATTTTTTAAATAGATAGATAGATCACTTAACCCAACGGAATTTATATATAGAGTGTGTGTAAAAGTCTATCAAAATTTTTTTTGCTATCATCCTTCTTACGAATAACTTTTTTAAAGTGTGATTAATTGAGGATGGATATACCAAAGCCAAATTTTTCGTTTATATAGAGCAGTATATTATTTATATAAGACAACCGGCAATATTTTTGAACGACTTGCATTATTTTCTAGTCATCAATTCTTTCTTCTTAATCATATATGCTAACGTAATGATGAAAATCTCTTTTAAAAGTGAATCCAAAGTATAAATAAAAATTTAGATAATAAAAACAAGCTATATAAATAAGCCAGTCTTAAGAAAACGATATTTATTATTCGAAATTTACCATATATAGTCAAAAAGAATTTATATAATTTCTTTACTATATAGTTTCGATATTGATCTGCTAGATCAATAAATGTTCTGATCACTGCAGTACTCTTTGGGCACCAAAAGCTGTATTTAAAATAAGTTTATTTTTAAAGGATACCAATTTCAAATTCAAAACAAAGATATACTGGTTAAAACTCCCAATATTTCAAAAAAATGGCAGAATATGGTTAAGAAGAAATCGAAATAGTTTAATCAACAAAACGATGCTTAACGAATAGTCTTTGTCAATCTTAACATAATAACCTATCCACCATTTATACATATATTTATAGTCTATTTAAAGAAAAATAAAAGATAATATAACAAACTATCCACCATTTATAAATTCCTAGAAATTATTTTCTCTAGACATTATTAATAAAAGATAACGTAACAAACTATCCATCATTCATAAATTCCTAGAAATTATTTTCTCTAGACATTATTACTTTATAAAAATCTACTGAATGTCTTAGTTCAGCAAGCTACAGCCATTGACACCCTACATATACGTGTAGTATATTTAAAGAAGTAAAAGATAACATAACAAACTATCCACCATTTATAAATTCCTAGAAATTATTTTCTCTAGACATTATTACTTTATAAAAATCTACTGAATGTCTTAGTTAAGCAAGCTACAGCCATTGACACCCTACATATATGTAGGTATAGTATATTTAAAGAAAAATAAAAGATAATTTAACAAACTATCCACCATTTATAAATTCCTAGAAATTATTTTCTCTAGACATTATTAATAAAAGATAACGTAACAAACTATCCATCATTTATAAATTTTCAGAAATTATTTTCTCTAGACATTATTACTTTATAAAAATCTACTGAATGTCTTAGTTAAGCAAGCTACAGCCATTGACACCCTACATATATGTATCTATAGCACATTTAAAGAAAAGCAAAAGAAATTGCTGTAGTTTTATTGAGGTTGGTTCACGTGATAGAATACCATATAACATATTCTATAGTAAAAAGTGCTAGTTTTGTCAGTGATTACTCCCTTCTGGTCCCACCTCGTGTGGCATGGTTTGTAGATTAGTTTTCACATTTTTTTGTTCATGTTAAATTATAGGAATTTTTTTTCATGGATAGTAATTTTTTATTTTTATTTCATTCTATTTCATATCCCTTTGCCCGCATTCCCAGCTCTAAAGAAAGTTAACAACAACGCAAGTTGCGAAAGGGTAGAAAAAGTTGCAAGTGGCATGATTTGTAAAAAGCATTTTGTGGCATTAAAATTTAACAGCAGAATTCCAAGGCATGAGTTGGTATCGTGTTTGGCAACCATTAAAATGGGAAATGGGAAATGTGCGGCAGTAGCGTTTCTATTTTTCAGTCCAATTTAAAACGAGAAACATTTAATAACAACTTCATGGCATTTTAATGCTTAGCTTAAATACTTAAAGACTTTAATACCAATGAATACTACTTTTTAATACACTTTAGTTCTTTGTTCATATTAATTAAAATTCATGAGAAATATTAGCGGCTAAATCGTTAAAAGAAATTTCTAAT